TTAATCTTAACTTCAGCTGAATTAAATTGCAACCTTAATCTTACCCTAACCAAACAGGTATGTTTGTTGTAAATTGTTTGACGGAAAAAAAAAAGTGGTAAGTACTATCAATGCCAATTCATCACAAGTGATGAGGTTGACAGGCCTTGGCATAATCATAGTGACTGTCCCAGGGGGAAACAAGTTCTCCGGCAGCTTTGCTAAAGGCGAGGTTGGCAACCTGACAACTGTAGCCCCTCCACACTCACTGGCGGGCTTATGCACCAGTGTGCTGTCGAAACCAGATGGCAGCAAAATCTTTGGCTCCAATACCCTACTTTTGATTTAACAAAATTTCTACTGTTTTCACAAGCAATTTCAATAATTCCACAGAGTTAATAGCAGTGCTAGTTTTTCATCTTCTACTGATTCTTAGTGTCGAACACTAATTATGTGTGTTCTTGCACCCGTTGAAGCTAATTTGGATGTATACCAGAACATATATCAATCCTGACAGCAGGGTTTAACAGTCAGCGTGCTAATGTACCAAACCCTTACATATCTAAGGCTATAGTGAAATTGGAACAAGAAAATAAAATTAATGTTACAGGTTTCCACTTAAATTGCATCCTGGTTTCAGCTGGGATAGACTTAATTTTCTTTCTAGTAGCAGGTACAGTGCTGTGTTTTGGATTTGGTGTGGGAATGATGTTGATAACATGCTGATGATGTAGTTGTTGCTAAGTAGCATTTATCGTAAGTCAAGTATTTTCCAGTTTCCGTGCTCTGCCAGCGAGCAGGGGCACAAGGAGCTGGGAGCAGCATGGCTAGGAGAGCTGACTCCAAATAGCCAAAGGGCTATTCCATACCACAGGATGTCATGCCCAGTACAGAAACTGGGGAGGGGGGAAGTTGGCCGGGGGGTGGATCACTGCTGGGGCATTGCTCAGCCGGTGGTGAGCAGATGCACTGGGCATCATTTGTCTTTCCTGAGGTTTGTTATTCTCTTTCTTATTTATTATTTTTATGTTTATCACTATTATTTATTATTGTTGCTGTTGCTATATTTTATTTTATTATTCAACTTATCCTAACCCATGAGTTGCGTGTATTTTTCAATACTCCCCCCATCATTCTGGGAGGGGAGAGAAGTGAGCAAGCGGCTGTGTGGTGTTTAGTTGTTGACTGGGGTTAAACCACAACAAAATGATGAAAAACTACTGACATACAAGCAAGTATTGATAGCATATAACAACAGTGTCTTATTCTTGCTCCATGAAATCAGCAGGCAGACTGAAACTTGCATGTAAGTCTGTTTAGTTAATGATACTTATTTCACTATAATTGCTCACCTATAGATTCTGCATCATCCCAGAACAAATCTCCAGAAGCTGCGTTGTCACAATGCTTCAAATCCAATGGCTCAGATCATATCCACAAGTATCTCTATATCTTCTTTATTTTCAAATTTTTCTAGCCTGGCATCTTTCAGATTCTTGCTTTCATTTGATACATTTAACAAACGGTTTGTCTTTCTCCATGGCATGTGTGTTACTGGCACTAACAATCATTATTTACAAGATTCTGCCACAGAAGAAGCCACAATCTATTTGTTTGCTTGTTGCACCACAGACAAGCCGAAACACAGCAAGAGATGATGATTCTGAAGCAAATTCAGAGATGATACAAAGTTGAGGTGAATCAGAATATCAGACCAGATGACTTTGACTCCCTAGAGGACTGGAAAATAAGAGTGGGATTTAATAGCACAAAGTGCAAGACAGTGTCACTAAGTGCATTTCAGTAGTGATAAAAACATTCTCTGGGCTCTCTCACTGGAAGCAATAATTGAAGGCGGGGGGAGGAAAAATAAAAAAGAAAGAAAAAAGCAGCAAAGCCTAGGCTTGTTAGGAATCCATCAACAGCTGTAATGCAGTAATGTGATGTACCCATGAAAAAATAAATATAATCTAAGGATCTAGCAAAACCCATGCTTGCACTGGGGATAGAGCTGTGTTAAGGCTAATAAACAAGGCCCTCTGCAGTCTCTTTGCCAATAAAGTTTACAGGTCTGATCAAGAGAGAAGAGTTCAGACTAGAATAAGACCAGAGCAAATTTCCTGGCATCCTCAGGGTAACGGCAGAGCCCACCTCTGTGGTTCAGCTTGTTCAGCATAAAGAAAGGAGGGAGAATGAGATCTCAGCAGGAAATACATAGACACTAGAGGAGTCATAACCTTTAAGCTGAAAAACAGAATTGTCACAAGGCTGAACAACAAGGGAGCAGAACTGGAACTTGGTTTCTAATCAGAGCACTAAAGGAGTGACAGGAACGGTGTAACGTGGGGATTTTATGCTGCAGCCCCCTGCCAGAGAACAGAGCTGGAACTGGTGACTCGACGTGCCCTTGTGCCCCATGAGGTGCTTATGAGATCGATCCCAAAGCAGCCAAACCTACCGGGTCAAGTACAGGGGAAATAAGCAGCCCCGGACCCCACAGGAACTGCCTGTCGACACTCCACGTCACTTCATCAGAGTAGAACCTGGGCACGTGGGAAGGATAGAGCAGTGACTGGGCTTTTATGAACTACAGCATCCCTAGCAATCCCAAGATGTCAGGGCACTGGTTGCCTAGACTCATGACTGCAGAGCATCCTATCAAAATTGCCTTTTTCCTTTTTAATCTCAGGCAACGCGAAGATGAGAAGGTGAGGGCTTACTAGTTCAGTCAGCATTCCCGACACAAGGGTAGAGGTGTGCATGTGTTCTTGACACAGCTTACTCAAGAGTTTCCAGGCAAGGAAACATATATCCTAATATGCTTATATGATGGTGGAGAATAATTTGATTAGTTGACAATAACATCTCACAGCAACTGGGAAGAGTGACTGACAATAATGTATGCGTATATGCAGAAATTACAGATGGTTTCTGATTACTCTTCTGATTACTCCAAAATGGTATTTCATGACTTAAGAAGTGGTCTATATATATTCCAGTGTTCATTTTCACAGGCTACGTCCCTGTTTAGAAAGTCCTTAACAACATTTAATCTGTCTGCTGTTGTTATTCCTCATAAAACTGTCACAAAGGCTGATGAGCAAACTTACTCATGCAAAACTGGCCGAACAACCGTGTCTCCTTGAGTATGAGCCTTATAAAACAGTGTGTACAGGTAGGGCAGCAAAGTGTAGCGAATGTTCAAGTAATACTTGGAGGTATTCACCAAGACTGAATCAGCTCCAAACGCAGCCGGATCCTGAGACTGAAAACAAATATTGGAATATTATTACTTTCATCATGCAGAAAACACTCTGCCAAGCATGTGAAAAGTGGCTGTTTCAGAGAGTCAGAAATTCAGTAGTGCACATCTGCACGGTGTTTGCCTTCTGGGTAGTGTGACTTGAGGTCCTGCTCCTCCAGGCTCCCTGTGTTTTGCCCTGCACATCCCTCCTTGCCCACCTGCAAGGAGGGCACCTCAGGGCTAGCTCAGGTTTCACCCTGGCACGTAGTTAGATTCATGGAAAAGGACACCCAAGTGTCAGTCTGATGGCTCACACAGCAATGAGTGCTTGCCCTTGGGTGTAGGCACAACCAACAGTGATGAAACTGTTGCCAAATAGGTGGAGTCTCAATTAACCCTTATGAAGCTGAACCTCTCAGATCTAAGATTTCATAAAGAGAGCTTAAGTTTCTGCCGTTTTCAAGTTGGTCAGCTACACAACTGTCAGGGATGGTAATGATTACTAGTGACACTATTAAAGGGAATATGGAGGTGTAACACAGCATTTGTCTAAGAGAAGGCACAACTTACTATGAATCCTTCAGCATTGTGATTCCTGGAAAATGGATAAAATGCTCCTACTTGCATCCATCGTCTGCAAAGTTCTTCTGTGGTGTTGTCGAAGAAACCACAAATATCTGCTCCAATCTTTAAGTAGAAACAGAATGCGTTAGATGTACAGGGCACTACACCTCTAATGTCTACACAAATCTCGTTTTCAGAGATGGATTAATGCAACCTTAATTGCTAGTTAGAGTGGCCAAGACTTTCAGCACAATTGTACCTTTCTTCTTTCAAATTCAACAATGTTGTATAAAAAAAAAATTAATCTGATTACTTGCTAACACAGCCCATAGTTCTATTTCTTCCAAATTTTTATCTTTCTGTTCAGTGCCAATATGCATATATTAGGAAAAAAACTCAAGCGTCATACAAATTCAGATAATGGGAATGAATTTGGGTATTTCCTTCATAAATAGTTGTCTGCATTTCATTTGGAATAATAAGAAAAACACCCAAGCGTTTCACGTCGATTACTAGTGTTTAAAAATTACTAGAAGTAACAGGTAGCTTCAGATATATAAAATAATACATTTGTTACCCACGTTTATCTCACCATACACACACAGCCACAGTAATCAAAATAAATGGTCCAAACTAAAAATCAATAATTGGAAAAAAATGTTAAAATCAGATTCCTAAAGACATGTAATTTGGAGATGAAAATGTGAGGTGGTTGGTTATCTAGATAGTGTTTGATTAGATAATCTGCTCTCAGAGGTAGAATTAGTGTTTATCCATATGTTTGGAAAGGATGTCACAAACTCATGTCATACATAAGGTATTCCAAAGAGGTTAAAGTCCAACATTCCAGGTATTGCCCATTTTAAGTGATCCCATATTGCTGCGTTATCTCCCAGCCAGTGTCCTGTGTCTTTTCCTGATCCGACAAATGTAGACCTCGAAATAAGGAAGCTTCGTTTTCCGGGAAAGAGTGCTTCAATGGCTCTTAAAAGGAAACAAGACTGGAATTACACAAAGGACAAAAGGTGACTTGGGCTTCAACAGTTTTGTATAAGGTAGATTTACAGTGACTGATTTATGATAAGTATTCATCCCAGGGGTGTGGACTCCTTTATGGTTAACCAGGTGTATTTTAGCAAAGTTCAAGACATTAATTTTAAATAATCTTTCTATAAAGCTTTAACAATCAATATGTGGCCTTTACTACCAGCTTTAATTAGTAGATTTTGCTTTAGCTGCATTGGCTTAAATATAATACAGTACTTTCCAGGGATTGAGTTCCTTTAAAAGTGGAATCTCTTGATGTTTTCAAAAATTCAGGCCATGTACTGTTCTGAAAACTTTTAGTAAAGACTTTAGAATGCATTCCTTACTTCCGTGTTGATATGATCATGGAATATCCATAAAGACTGTGGACATCATAATGTTTCCCCCACTTCTGCACTGCATCCATACAAAGTGTCTTGGAATACATAAGTTTATCAAGAATACCTTCAATAAAGGAATACAAATATCACTTTTAAAGTATATTTCTATTATTAATATTTCCAATCTTTAATGCACATTCATGACATTCAAGCCTTTTTTTTTTTTTTTTTCTCTTTAATGTTTGCACTAAGGTCAGTATTTCTACTACAAAACCAAAATGCTACTCTTGGCTGCTGATCTGAATCATCTTTGCTCTGTGACCTTTTCTACTCTTGAGCTTTGCACCCATGCAGGTAATAACTGAGAACTACGCTCTAAATTTATGAGTTATTATCTGACAAAACGTTGGCAATGGTTACTTAAATCTTCTACTTGATCCAAAGTATGAACTCCATTTTGGTTCTGCATATATCTCAAAAACTACTGATAGTGAAAGAATTATATTATCAGACATAAATAAGGCACTGATAATATTCAGCAATAATTTGTAAAGGGAAAAAAACAGTTATATAAACCACGCCTTCAACAAGGGCCAAAGTATACCGTCATTTTTTATAAGTAATGTTCAACCCCTGCCCATAAGAACTACATTAAAACTACTTTGCATACTTGTAGCCAATTGCACAGTACTACATAAACTTCTTGATATTTTGATTTCGTGTTAAAGTAGATGGACTTACTGGGAGTGAAAGGAGGATAGTTTAAGTCATTCTGCTCACAACCTTTTTTTGAGCCTTTAATGAAGTTGGATACTTCATTCATATCCTGAAAAGGTAAGATGCAGAATGTAAAGACATTTCCTCAATTACATTTTCCTAACAAAATCTTATGTTTTATTCTCTCAGTCTTTAAGGAATAATTACGTAGAACTAGTACCATATAATTAGGTGAAAATTATATAACTCAGACACTGACCTGGTCCATTCCTGTTTTAATGATCAGTGTTGGACAGCCTTCTAGGCAGGTGAGCATCATGTCACAAGAGCTACATCTTATCCCTCCACAGAAAGAAATTACAAGAGGTGTTCCTGTATATGTTGTGCCTACCTATGAGCAACTCCACACATCTCCCAAGGAAAATGTCTTTGGTATGGAGTGTGTGTTTGGAGAGAAATGCATTGTTACTTACTTTCTCTCACAAGGTGACTAGATATTCTTAAACAACACCTTTACAGTACTTTCCAACCCATTACACTTTCAAACTTTGCTGTCTTCTTCCATGAATATTTTATTTGGCAATGTTCTAAGTGTATTTCTGTGCATCCCTCAACGTGCCGCAGGAAAAGCATGCATGGAAGAAGAAAGCAAATTCATAATGGAGGCATTGTAGTCTAGTGACCAATTTGCTTCATCTAAGTTATTTGGTCTCTGTAAGAGACCTGTTCAGTCTTACACTTCATAGCTTGACTTGACAGAACCACAGAGTCAGCAAAAATAAGTGAGAAAAACTCAATTCGATCACACTGTATTGGGTTTGCGTGGCAAGGGTTTGGTAGCAGAGGGGCTACAGGGGTGGTTTCTGTGAGAAGGTGCCAGAAGCTTCCCCATGTCCGATGGGGCCAAGGCCAGGCGGCTCCAGGATGGACCCAGCCCTGGCCAAGGCCGAGCCCATCAGCCACGGTGGTAGCGCCTCCGGGATGAGGGATTTGAGAAGGGGGAAACCTGCACTACTGTACCTGAAGAGAGAGGAGTGAGACCGTGTGAGAGCACCAACTCCGCAGGCACTAAGGGCGGAGGAGGAGGAGGGCAGGAGGTGCTCCAGGCCCGGAGCAGAGGTTCCCCTGCACCCAGGGCAGCCATGGGGAGGCGGCTGTGCCTGCACCCAGGGAGGCCACGGGGGAGCAGAGACCCCCCTGCAGCCCGGGGAGACCCCACGCCGGAGCAGGGGGATGTGCCCCGAGGAGGCTGCGACCCCGTGGGAAGCCCCCGCTGGGGCAGGGGCAGAGGGTGAGGAGTCCTCCCCTGAGGGGGAAGGAGCAGCAGAGACGAGGGGTGATGAACTGACCACAGCCCCATTCCCCGTCCCCCTGCGCCGCTGGCGGGGAGGAGGGAGAGAAATGGGGGGTGAAGGTGAGCCGGGGAGAAGGGAGGGGTGGGGGGAAGGGGTGTTAAGATTTTATTTCTTATTATCCTACTCTGATTTGACTGACAATAAATCAAGTTACTTTTCCCAAGTTGAATCTGGTTTGCCCGTGACAGTAATTGTTGAGTGATCTCTCCTTGTCCCTTATCTTGACCCACAAGTTTTTATTGTATTTTCTCTCCCCTGTTCAGCTGAGGATGGGAGTGATAGAGCAGCTTTGGTGGGACCCTGGTGTCCAGCCAGAGTCAACCCACCACATGCATTGCAGCAGCAGGACTGTATGTTGCCATACAAGTTAGTTTAAATTTGTTACAGGTTTTTAAAATGGATGGGAAAATATTCAGTAGATTCTTGTTTTCTTTCCAAGTATTTATTGACTTTTGTCTAAAAGGAAGTAGGAAAAACACAGCAAAAAAAAAAATTAGAGAGGAAGGCAGTAAGACAGGGATTGAGAAGTTTAAGTATAGATTTCCTTCAAGCACCCATTTTTCAGATTTATTACAGGATATTCCTTTAAAAAAACTAATCTGGTCAGTCAAAATGGTTCTTAATCTCATCTCATTTCCATGAACTGTACCCAAAATCCACTGTGCGAGATTGTATCTTAGTCCTTTTGTGGGACCGTATGTCACAGGAGCCTGATTTTTCCAAATCTTTATCTGGAATAGCAATTGAAGATTTGCTAACTGGAAATTCCATGAGCTACCTGGAGCATGGACACATAGATGATATGTATGATACCCTGTATTCAGGACCTGTTTAGCACACACTCACTGAGCAGGTATGCAGGTCTCCGAATGTCACCATTTTAAGTACAGGAGGTGCTAGCATTTGGCTTTAGCAAGTTTTTTTTTTTAAGTGTCACTGAACATCCAAAAAGCAGCACACAGAACATTTAAATGCCATGATTAATGATTCAAATTAAAATTTAAAATTCAAATTTGAATTGCAAATTCAACACCAGAAGAGATACACATCCTGCATTGATTTCAGGTGAGTAATAGTAAACATCATTTTCGAATCCAATGCAAATTGAATTTGATAAACATCTATCCTTGCCTATTTAAAATAAAAATAAAAATAAAAATGAAAGTTCTGAATAACTTACAATCCAGATCCCATCATATGGCACTACGTTATAAAACAGTTTGCATTCTTCCACCCACCAGCTAGTGCACTCTGGGTTGGTGAAGTCTGGGAACACAGTTTCCCCTGGCCACACCTGCAATATTAAAAGGCAAATAATTAATTAAGCTTATAATGATATTAAAAAGATCTCCTAGAATCATAGAACAGCCCAGGTTGGAAGGGACCTTGAAAGATCATCTAGTCCCACATTTCATGGGAAAGGGAACCCAGATGAGATCATCTAGCACCCTTCCAATCACATCTTGAAAACCTCCGGTGATGGGGACTCTACCATGTCCCCGGGGAGGTGTTTCCAGTGATTGTTCTCACTGCAAAAGATTTCCAGTGCAACTTGTATTCTCCATTTGGTTCCTTGTGAAGGGAGAGGTTCAGTGATCTGTAGCTGCCTTTTAAGTACTGGAATACTGTTCTCTTCTCTGGGGAAGAGAGGCCTAAATCCTTCAGTCGTTTCTCAGAGGACAGGTTCTCCAGCCCTTTGATGGTTTTTGTGGCCCTCCTTTGGATCCTCTCATCTGTCTGCATCTCTTTTAACTGTGGGGACCAGAACTGGACACAGGTGCAGCCTGCCAAGCACCAAGTAAAGTGGGATGCTCACTTCTCTATCTCTGCTAGCAGTGCCCCTTGGATGAAGCCCAGGATTTGATTTGCTTTCGTCGCTGACTCGCGTTCAGGCTGTTGTCCATCAGGACCCCCACAGTTACCTGTCGAGGGCAGTGTTAATACAGTGCTTTGATGAAGATTTTTGAATGATAAATTGTTAGAGTGACAATAGCTTGCATGCATAAAGAATGCAGAGAGTATGAGTTTCTTAACTTTGGAGTTTTCAATTGCTTATCTTTTAAGTCATAAAAGGAACAATACATGACAGAATAATTTCTCAATAGAAATTATAAATTAAAAGCATGATGTGTGAGCTGGGTCTTCAGTTGCTACTGAAAATAAATAGGAGTTGGCTGATGAATTGTCCCTTGATCTTTCAAACTACCTTGTTTTTCCTATTTGCTTAATGTAAAATTAAAAAAAAAAAAATCAAGAAAGCTTGAAAAGTATCATATCCTAAGTGAGACCTTATAAATTTAGTTGTCACTGGCAAGTAATTTTACTGAAAGAATAAACTTAGAAAATGAGAATTTAAACTGAGCCTCTAACCCAAATTAAACCATATCAGTGACAATAGTCCAAGTTCATATTCATAAAAATGTGATTACCTCCCCAAGTAACGTTGTTACTTCATCTGATTCATTAATCCAGACTTTTTTTGCCTCTCCCCTGACGTGGCTTCCATATGGACTACCATCAACAAGATTTTGTGTGCTAATAGCAGGATCCTAAAAAAAAAAAAAAGCAGAAAACAAAAAAATAAGAAGAATCCAGGACACACTGAATCAGTTATTATGGACTCCTAGAATGTTAGGCAATAAATGTATCATTTACACAGAATAAGCAAAGTATAATAATAAATGGTTATAATTATAGTATTTACAAGGGAAAAAGAAATAGTTAAATCCTTACCAATATGATAATATATTTTTGTCCATAGTCATGCATATAAGCTGCAAAATTAGGGAGATCTTTAAACTTCACTTTGTCATAAGTAAAATCTTTCTTTTCCTCCATATAATCAATATCAGTGATCTGAGCATCCTGAAAGCGAAGGGAGTTCAGTTTTAACGTGAGAAGTGATACAAAAAGATTTCTGTATATTAGTCCAACACAATTTCTTCTGACAATTCGTGTTTGTCCTATAGTTAATTTACTGTTGGGACTTTACTGCAGCCTGGCAGAAGAAAGTATGCTGTCAGGACCATTTACAAACAATGTGAATCTCATCTCATACTTACAGCCCTAATTAATGGTACTGACACATCTTTTGTGCCTAAAAAGAGATGCATTTAACATTAACAGAATGTAAATGAATGTGTATATTGGCATCCTTTCAAATAGCCCCTGGACATGTGGCTATTTCATTGCAGTTGCCTGTCTCCGAGAGCAGTCTCCTTAAATCCAAACATTTCTTCCTCAACTCTTAGCTTAATATTAGGGTATTTTTATTCTATTTAAGCCATCAGGCTAATGCAATCTGAAATCCAATTTTAAAAGTTAATTGTACTTTACCTTTGGCTGTCAATTAAGAATAATATATGGTACTGTAATTGTCCACAGGACAATTAAAAAAAATTTCATGGATTAGATAACATGAGAAGATAAGTGGATATAGCTGGGAAATATCACTGAAAAAGTCTTACATTAAAGTGCTCAAATGAAACACTGTAATTAAACCCATGTCTCACATTCTGATAATGGTTCTCCCATTAAAATGCACAAAACCCTTTGAGACCAGAAGCCCATCTATTAGAAATTTACTCATTTAAGCTGATGTGAAATGAACCGTTGCAGAACACCCTGGTCGGGATCTCTGGGTCATTTCTCCAACAGAGCTCTGCTTTCAGGGGGTTGCTGCCCTCCTCAACCCCCATACTTACATAAGGGAGTCCAATCGCCCTGTTCCTCTCCACGACTCTCTTCACCTCATCCAGAGACCCGTAATTCCAGCGGCTGAGCTGGAAGCCCAGGCTCCAGTAGGAAGGCAATGCTGGCAGTCCCACAAGCTGCAAGTTGAAAACAAAATTCCCACCCACTGTCAGTGGACACTACATGTGCACCTCAGCACCCATTTCCCTAGATCCATGCTCCTATTCTATTTGAGTAATACACACTAAGCCTGAGGGTGTGAAATTAGCAGCCCACCCCCAAATGATCTATTTTTCTATATTTTTTTATTTAAGAAATATGTATATATATCAGGACAACATCCATTCTTTAAAGTGTCACTGAAATCTAAACAGATCTCCTCAAGTACTAAAGGTATCAATGATATTTTATGACCATAAAATCATGATATATCTGTAGGCACATTATCTACTGTGTAATATTGCAATATGAAAAAGAATTAGTCCTTGGAACACGAGGGAGCCCCAGCAAGGAAGAATAATTTATTCATGTAGACCATCTCTAGCTCCAGTGACCACCATGTAAATCAGTCAGGCCATACAGACTGACAAATTTAGCAGCTACAGACTTCTTGGATCTCAAGCTACTGCACAGTCTCTGCTCCAGCATCTCCAGCAAAAGTAGTGTTTAAGTTTCAGCTGCCAGTAACAGGCCAGCTAAAAATATCTACATCCCAGTTTAACCCCAGCTAGCTATTACTAATGACAGCAGTCACATTAGGGACATAACAGTTATTCTTAGTTAAATATATACTGAGTCATATTTTCAGTTAATAGATAACACAGTGAAGACACTGTCATATAAAGAGGAAAAACAAAAAAATCACCAAAAAATCCCACAGCACTTTAAAAAATCTGTTTAATGCGTAATCTCTCTAGCTAAAGGTACCTTCAGGTACTCCTGGACTACTTGCTCTGGAGTGTTCCCCAAGAAGATATAGAAATCAAGGATCCCACCAATGGTTCTGTAGGTCACTGCTGGAGCAGGCTGCACCACGAACTCTGCCGGACAAGAGTGCACAAAACCAGTTCTGAATATCAGTTTATTCAAAAATAACTGTCATTTTCTAGGTGATGATTAGAGAAGTCACTTAAGAAAAAAAAGAAATACCTAAGGAACCCAAACCCATTAATTAAACTTGCAATGAAGGGGAAATGTATTCAGATGACTCTTTTAAATGCCCACTTTTCCATGCCTTTACATCCTACAGAGAAGAGAACCAGAAGAAAATCAATGGCTCAGCCTTCTATCTTTAATTATTTAGTACAACTTTCCACATTCAAGAGATGTGAAGAGCCCTGTAAAGCATACATAAATGCATGCTTAGCTAAAGAGACTAAAGGGCTCAGATATTGCTCACTCCAGCTTTAAGCTCCGATTCCAGTGTCCGGCACATCTGCACAAGCCTTGGATAGGTTTCTGACCCTCAGGTTTCCAGCACAATCTTCAAGTTAACTGTGAGCTACTTACTGCTTATGTCGTGTAGGCTAAACGCTACAGTTTTGATCCCAGTCCCACAGATCATTTAAAAGATATTTCACTGCAATGCTCAGAGCTACAGAGAAAGCTTTCTTACCCATGGCATTGCTATTCATTAGGAAAACACCAAAGGAGGCTCCCGTGCTGTCTTCCAAGCACAGGAAGAAAGTTTGAACTCCATATAAGTTATGCATTGCCTGGAGGGGTAAAAAGAAAAAAAAAAAAAAAGCTGATTAAAATCTATTAACAGTATCTGTTCTGGGATATTTCAACATATATCACAGGTGAACTTGAAACTCCTCAAAATACAGCAAACAACAAAAATAAAAATCTTAAAACATTCCTACAGTTTTGTTTTCTCCTCTCCTGGCATTCTTCTCCTTTATGGGAACATTCTCCATTAAACCAAAAGTTTCCCCAAATATACAGAGAACAGAAGCAAGCAGGTATGATGGATCTTCAGGCAAATCTGCCTAGATCGCAGCACTGTTTCTGGGTAATACCGATGATGCACATCGAGCAAACAATAGAACTTGAACGGTGCTTCCATCCCTTTCACCATAGATTAGATTTTACATCTAGTCTATATTTCTGTTAATCCTGCAAGGTAATAATTTTTATGTCTAATCTATGGAAATAAGACAGTACCTTGCTTCTTTTTTATTTCCTTTCTAAGGTTTTTTTCCCCCATTGTTATTATTAGCAACAAAAACCTTCAACATTTTAACATTTGTTGTAATAGCTGTGCTTCTTCCCCTGCAAAAGAAAACTCAGAAAATTGACAAGGAACAGAACTTGAGCAATTTGCAATTAGCCTAATGATTCTCTTCACTGTTGGCTTAACTTAATGAGTCTACACTCAATAGAGCCATTCAGGTAAGAATTATCTTCAAACCAGTGAAAACAGCGAGAATGTTTCTCAAGGTAAGGGGGAGAAATTTCAAATTATACATTAATTACATTTATTGGTCTCACCCCCTAGTTTCTGTAAGTATATCGCCTGTTTCAGCAAAATACTGAAGTGCTATCTCAAAAGTGAAGCCTATTGGGTTTTACCTAATGAAACTGAGGTAATAGAACCAAAAAGTCTTATAATTACTGAAAAATGGGTGCCCTAGAAATCATTTTAGAGACAGCCACAGAGTCTATAGAAACAGAAAACTGCTGACAGATATCTTTTACCTTGTAAAGAGACAGCTGTTAAAGAGAACTTTTCCATCCTTTGCCGAGCTACAGGGATGTTAACTCAAGCAGCATGTCTCATCTGTACTGAGCGCTGCACACAGCAATGCAGTAGGACATGGTGTTATTTACTTTATCAGTAGAAACTGAAGACTCTCATATATTAATGTTTATCAACTGGTTTTCAGATGCACGTCAACACAAAATTAAAATTATTTATAAAAATCTGCTCCTCGGGGAACTTCCATCAGTACCATCTAGCCTGTAGTAACAACATGCAGTGCCTGACACGTCTTTGGGGAAAAACTTGATGGACGTTATTACTGTGTCTACTGCATAGCAGGCTTGGATTACAGAAGTCATCTGCAAAGACTAAATGTAATAAAACCAGTCCTTACTCCAGAGGGGCCAATATCCCTGCTGAACAGAGGCCAGGTTTTCCAGTTGACGTCATGCCGGTACTGCTTATGCACGTGCTCTCCCACCCCATAAATGTTGCTGCTCGGTAGTTTGATTGATAGCTGTAAAAACTGGTCAGCATACTGCAGAGGTCCTATGGTAGTATCAAACCTGATGAAGCAATTAAAAAAAAAAAAAAATTTACCAAGAATTGCTGTAGTAATTGTTTCTTCTCCTTTCAGGTAGAGCTGGGTAAGGGGTTCGGGTCTCCATACAGAGACCTGAAGGGGAGGGAGGCAGGATGGTGAGGGGCTGGAGCAGAGCGACCCTTGCACAGAAGAGGAGATGAGCAGTGCCCACTGCCCCTACAGAAATCTCTCATACAAGAGGCCTGTCTGTTTTCAGGGGTACATCTGCACACCTCTCTTTCCAACAAAGCTTCCCACCCTGCAGCTGTTGCACCGAATCCTGAATCCACTCTCTGTGGCCACTCCCAGTAATGGGGCAGATGGAGAATTTCTGTGGGTGGACAGAAACACAAAAATAATCCACTCCATCCATCAGATTTTGCAAATCAATTGCAGCTTTTGCTTGCCAGGGAGAACAAACAAGAGCCACTCTTGAGTCCTGCTAGGCCAGTCACTACATGGAAAGGCAGACTACGGCTCTCGAATATAGCGAGCATAGATGAGCACAGATTAAAGTGTTAACATGACCCTGAGCAGGGTTCAAATCCCATTTCATGGCTATCCCATCTCCTGTAGCGAATTCAACATAAAGAACTACTAAGCTTTTTAAAGAATGTGAAGTTTGTGGTGTTGCAAATAGATGCAGAGAGTACTGTACAAAGAGAACAGGCAGAGATCAATATGCCTCCTTTACATCTGTTAGCAAAACACACAGCAACAGTCAATTTCATTAATAAATTTTCTTCTGTTAATTTAATTTTGCACCGTTGACCACTCCCTTGCGTTACAATTCATGTTCCAAACAAGGATTACGTGAGATTTAAATACTTAAGACAGAACCTAATTTCATTTCTTGTTTTACAGGGAGGACTCGGGAAGCAGTGGGGAAATCGGAGCGGTGCTGAGGCAGGGAGCAGCAGGAGGCAGCCCAATTCCTGCCACGGGGAGCCCCAGGGAGCAGCTCACTGCAAGGCACTGGACTCATGGATTCGTCCCCTTCCTTTAGCTCTGCTGAGCTGTTGCAGCTGTAATGGTGAACCAGGCTCTAGACTCTCCTGACCAGCAAAGCATCAGGTTGTGACCCCATCTGTGGTCCCCAGTGGTGCCAAAAAGGCCTCATTGGGCATCTTAAGCATCCTCCCTCCTGATGGATGGAGGCCACCATCTGTAGGGAACTTTTTCTACAACCAAGTGTGTGCCCACAACACTACCAACGTGTGTGACAACAATTTTGGGATTCTGATCACATTTATCTTAGTGATAAAATTAAATATCTCCCTAAGAAGCCAAGTGCACAGGAATGGTTGAAGAGTTTTGCATTTCCTAAGCAGCACTAAATATCATCCTGGGTAAAAGTCTCCCACAACCCACAAAAACCCTAAATTTCCTTTCTCTTGAACTTCGTCACGTTCAATTTCCTCTTTGATACCTCTAAGATTTTGAATCCAATCCAATTGGTGAATGTGTCAAAACTGAGCCCTGCCTGGAAGAAGCAGGAGCTTCCATCAGTCATCACTTTTTAAATGAAACAATCACAAATAGAATGTCACTGTGAGTTAAACCAGATTTGATGCAGAGAGCAATTGCAGTGAAGCTCTGCCTCAGCTTTGAAGGTTATCTTCAACTTCATTAAACCAGGAGTTTACTGGGATCTGCACAAACACCTTCTTTCCCCAAAAGCAGAGAAAATGACTGAATTCAGGACAAACTGCCTCGATATGTATTAACAATATACACAATTTCAAAGGAATATGCTCTTATCTACTCGATTTCTGTAGCTTTAATTGGAAACTCTTTTTACAGCTGTACTTTCCTGTAATTTTTGTGACATTTAACAGTCATGATATTCCTATAGGGGAGAGGAATGTAAATTTTGCTTTACGCAAACACAGCCACATTAATTTTACAAGACTTTATCACTTCAGATGTATTATACACCATAACTACATTTATCACTATGAGGATGTAATTATCAGTAAATTCTTTTATGCATAAAGAGGTCCTTAAACTATTAAATACACACACAGTGCATTCGTGATTACAAACACTGCACAAACAAGTGACAAGAGCAGGGGAGTTTGGCCTTGTTACAATTTCTATCTGCTCATATTACCTTTTCTTTTAAGTTAAAATATGAACACTTGAGGGAGGCTTCACAGGTCTGATGTATTTCTGTGCAGTTTTAATGATTCCAAGGACTATGTCGCCCATCTGCTCACAAACTGTACTGAAACCTGCTTTCTTGGGTGGGGGGCAGGGGGAAGCCTGTCTTCCCAATGAAATGATGGCAGGCTTTCAGGTTTTCTTGCACATTATGATGCTAAGAGGTCTGTCAGAACTCTAACTCTTTTGAGGGGCTCTAGTGCAACAAAGGCTGATGGAAGGTCTCAGGCTTTATAACTATCTGGAGAATCAGGATTTCTCTATTGATCTGTAATAAAATATTGTTCCCCACTCTTCCTTTTCCAAAGAGGCTCCCAGTTTGCTTGGTTGTTTAGGAGTTGGGGGAAAGCACGCCTTCTGTTGAAAACAATCCCCTAACCAAAGATTTCTCTCTGGGATAAGGACTGCCTATCCCAAGCTAACAACAGCTTCCCTGAAGGTACTCGGAGTCAAGAATCATTGTCATTTTTTTCATTAGAGACAGAAATGCAAGCACTTTTATCAAATTAAACAACAGCCCAAGGAAAAAGACTCCCTTCCAGAGAGCTGCCTCAACGTGGTTCTGTTGGATGAGGTTTCTTATTCCCTCCCCGTATACCTGTTTAATCCGTCACACATTACTGAATACCAAGTCCATCTTTTGTGCTCTCTATAATTGCAAATCAATCACTGCAGAGGATTCTAAGCAAGAAAACAATACAAATAAGAGCACAAAAGCAATCGCTAATTAATTAAACCTGAAGCGTTGATAATCCAAGTGGCCTAGCACTCTGGCAGGTAATCATTCTTGGACTGATTTCATCAGCATGTTCATCCTGACACTTCCCCCTTCTAATGGGTCTCAAAGCCATGCTGTTACGTTTGTAGGCTTGTACTACTTATTTAGTTTGAGAACCTAAACAGGACCATTAGCATGCAATCTGCTGGTCCCTCAATATGTTACTTACAGCACTGCATGTCCAGCTTATCAGCGGCCTGCACCACCTACTCTTGGATAGCACAGGTCCAAAGGGCAACCTGGTTTTGGTGATTCAGAGCTTCTGCATGATTGCAACAAGTAAGATAAAAGATGCACGAAGAGCGTTCCCATACAAGGACTCCTTTGGATAATAACATTTTCGCAAATTGATGGAACAAAGTAGGTGTAAATCTTTCCCTAATATTGGGGGAAAGGAAACAGAGAGCCAGACCTCAAACCCTTTAGACAGAGCTCTCCATATCACCGAATTTGTTTCCAAAGGCCTCACAAATCCTTGCAGAACATCCATCAGCCAGAAGAAGAGACGAAGCAGATGACATGTCCAAGAGGGCACCTCACACACGGTATCTTGGACACACATTGTTGTGAGGCAACGTGGCCTTTCCGAGAAAACCAACGGCGTCCGTGCCAGTCAGTAAAAGCAGCACCGTTACTTACAGCACTCTGCCGTTGCTCACTCTGGTCACCACGATGCCAAAGGGGTTCTGCTTCACGTCCACTTTGTAGTTTGGATTGGAGGCTGCGGATCCAGTGAAAGGTCGCACATGCTCGTGAGGAACTTCAAATCTGTGTTTTTTAGGATCAGTGATCTGCACACATTTAAACAACCGAAGTGTTGGGCCTTTAAAAACTAATGCTAAATTAAAACATTTTCCAGCATTAACACGTATTTCTGACTTAGGATATTCCCACTGCTATCCCAGTCTCTTCTGCCTTCATTGTTATTCACTTCCAATTTTCATCATTCATTCTCAGCCATTTCTCTCATAATACTTGACCCTGTGATTCCCTTGCTCAGCAGGAACCCACGGCAAGAGGAAGGTCTCCCACAGCAGAAGGCTTGCTCAACCCCAGAACCCATCAATATCCCACATTCATGACACGGACTGTTGAATTTTCCTTAGAGAACAGAAATCATTGGAAGAGCTAACGTCTCCTGTCAAAATGATTGAGAGATGGCCAGGCTCTAAATAAACAGTAAGGAAATATATTTATCCCCAGAATTTTCCTGTGATGAGGAAAAAAGGTAGATAATATAAAAGCTGAGTTTTTCAAAGGTCTTGGTAATTTTTCACACAGAAATCTTCCTGTGCTGAACGCTCGTTAACCTGATGCATTGCAACACAGAGAGGACAAAGCAAGGAGGAGACGAGCACTTCAGTGGGAGTCATGGAAGTGCATCAGAAGGATTAATCCAGCCCTCCTAATCACACTGCACACTGACAGCCAGCCTAAAATCTTGCTCAGAACATGAACCTCAAAACAGCATGGATAAAAGATTAACCTTGAACCGGAAACGGTTTGGTGTCTGATACTCTCCTGTGAGGAGGACAGTGTTGGCATCGTTTCCAAAGAGGGAAGGTGATGGCAGCCTCGTTAATGTAGTCTCGAATCCTTGGGAAAAAACACATTGCAATGTTATTGGGTCAAATCAGACATCAGCAGATGCATAAACTGGGGAGTTGAGCCTGCAGCTTACCCGCCTTTGTTGATCTTGTCGACCCATCTGCTTTGTACCCGTGGTTTGAAGGGAAGAAACACCAGGGCACACTGATATCGCTCTTGGGACTCCAGCAGCAGCCACGCAGGGTGCAGGTGCTCTGATTCAAGGACATCAGGGGCACAAATGAGCTGATTTTACACAAATAAATCCTCTATACTAAAACAGTTAAAATGCACACGGAGTGCATTTTACCCCAAATACCAGAAACCTTAATAATAACTGCAATCAGAGCAACTCCTCTGAAACTCTACTGAGTTAATTCAACAGCACAGAAGACTAAACTGAAAGGATTATTTTCTGGATTTCAGAGTGGAAACTTGCTTATTAGACACTCATTCTTTCTTAAAACCAGAAGATCCACAGGCAAAATGAACATTTAAAAAGAATTTTTGAAGCATTTAGGCTGTCAAATGCAGTTTATTCTGACCCAAAAATCACACAGTGGAGGGGAAGTAAAAGTTAGAGTTGGATTAACATCTGGTAAACATCTGGTTAAACATCTGCATATGCATAATTGATCATTATGTTTAATATTTACATGTTAATGTAATTTTTCAGTATCAGAAATGTTCAGGTTGCTTCTGCAGAACCTCCAATTTTAGATAAATAAACTTTTTTTTCAATTATGTCTCGGTGTAGTGGCACCAACCTTTACACTACCTTTCAGTAGTATAATAAGCTACAGTACCTTTGCTTTGCTGTTAGAAATTAACTTCATGCACTGTTTGCATGAGTATTATGTTTGAAGATAAGATTTGGGTAATACATCACTATGTTCTCACACATTTTCTCACATTAAACGCCCAACTCATTTCTCAGGGCAAAGGGCAGCAGTAATACAACAAGCTTCTCTGAGGGCAAAGGGCAGTGTCCATAAGTGATCTCAGGTACCCTAATCCATCACACAGATCTTCAAGACCTTTCCCTCCACCTGCCCATTAACAGAAGCTGTCTCTGCCTTCGTCTGAATGTGCTCAAATATTTTTGGTGCTTGTGTCATGCTTATTTAAAATATTCTACAGCTTGAAACAGGTGGAGATGGTCCAAAATCCATATTATTGCTTCCTTGGTGGCACTTGGGTTTGGGTTATAGAGCCCAATCTGGTTGGTGCAGGACAAATGCTTTTCTCAGACTCTGAACAGAGCAAAGATAAGGCAGCTCCAGCCCATAAATCATGGAAGCGTTGAAGGAAAGCACAGAGGGAGCTCACAGAGCCACTGGCTTGGGAAGTCAGTGTCTTTATTTAGTACCAATTGCTCAGACCACAGAATTCTCTGCAAAACCACCCAAGATAAAACCCAGATTCACCAAACAGATGTTTGTGTCTCTGTCATGGACTCTTCACATCAGAAAACAAGTCTGTTGTCATTTTCATCAAGTTTCAAACAAAAAACATGATTGGAGGAGAGATATAGTGACTCATTTTCCGCCACATTGATCCAGGAATTAGTGCACTTCCTAAGGCTGTGAAAAATCCACGCTCACTTTCCACCTCCCCAGTTCCCCTAGAGAGCTCCCTATTTTCTGTTTTATAAACTATTTCAGAGTAAATGAGAAGAAGCACCAATTCTCTCCGAGATTGCAGAGAACACAGCTTTGTTCCCTTACCTCATTACTTCCTTTCCTTCCTACGTAGGGGAATATCCTAAATACGTAAGAACAGAGTCTGTTCCTCCATCCTCTTACCCCTTCCTAGCCCAGTGACTATCCCATACAACTCTGAATAGCTTGAACAACAGATTTTCCTAAAGTCTGGTAGTTCAAGCATTTAAGTTTCCAACTTCATAAGCATGCTTGTCTTTTTTCCCCAGCTACTCCTCATGAACACTTGTTGACTACTTCCAGCAGTTATTTTACAGTCCAGTGATACTCTCCTAGCTAGATCTTATTCTAGTGGATTTGTAAGCTAGAGGTCTGTATTTTTGTGGCACATTGAGCCTGCTGCATAAGGAAGTAAATACAGAAGTGCAGATCGGTTACACCCGACACAGAGAAAAGAGCAGAGTTCATCCAAAGACACTGGAGAGGTTGTTATAAAAGCTGTCATTTAGTGTAAACAAAGGCCTGAGCTGATCACAGCCTCTGAGCTATAAAACCAGCCTAATAGATACCAATACCCAATAAAGCCAAAGAGAAAGTCAAAGCTTAATTAGAAATAATCTTGGATACAAGGAAACAGTTTACACTGGGATACACAATGAACAGCTTCTGAACACCGAACTGAGCACCAAGGATTAAAAGAATAGCTTGTCTATGTACTGAACTAAAACGTTTCTCTTCTGTGCACCCAAACAAACCTCTGCCAGCAGGGTATTTGGGGAAAAAAACCCACACAAACCAAAACAAAAAACAACAATACCCCCTTCTCCCAAGCTTCCAGAGGTAGCAGTCCAATAATGGACTGCACTAGCTCTGCTCACGGTAGTTATTTTTTTTTACTGGTGTGTTGTTCTTGTCTAATCAAACTTCACGACATTTTCCCACAACACTGAATGGTTAATAAATATCTGCTTCCTTTCAGCATGTCTATCATTGTCAGCCCTGTGATGGGTTAATAAATATCTATTTGCTTTCCATACTTCTATCCTCTGCAATCCTCCTCAGTTTCTGGCTTCCTCTAGGACATCTTCAGTCAAGGAAGAAATCAAGAGAGACACTAACGTGCTCTATGAGCTTGGACAAATGATAATTTTCCCAGTTGCTGTATATTCTGAAAACCATTAATGGAAACCACTACAGAAGAGTTATGTTATTCCAAGGGGGTACCTGTAGTTTTACAGCTCTGCCAGCTGATGTATTAGAGTAGCCTGAAGAAGGAGAATCAAAATGCCTCCAGGAGAAAAGTTATACAGGAAAGAACGGACACACTGGGGTGGCACTCTGGCTTGTGTTGGGCAGGCACCGAACAACTTTTCTCAAGGCACAGGTTAAAGGGAATATTTCTCTCTGATGCTGTGAAATCTGCTGCCTAGTCTTCACTAAGGAAAGAACTGCTTCAGGAATTGTACCTCTAAATCCAGAGCAGCTACCCCAATGTTCAAATCTGCGTCTGGTCCTACTTATAGTTTGATTATTTCAAATCCAATATCTGTGATTCTATAATCAATGACAGTAAAAATGCAAGGGTAGACTTACAATAAGGCTTACAGTTAGAGCAAAACTATTTCTCTCACTCTATGATGAGTGCGGCACTTAATGAGGGGTGACTGTTTCAAAGGCAGTAATTAAAGATTAAAGTGATCTGCGTGATCGCTTTAACTACCACGGTGGGGGGGGGGGTGTGAAGGAACCAAAAGAGTAGTGGAACAGGCTGTGATTTGAGCCTTTACTAACCTGTTCGCCCACAGACTTTATTGAACTATACATCATAACAAAACCCATGGCATGACAGAAGCTTTAACAACTGTCACTTCTGGAATTAGGACTGGGAATTTCTTCAGAGATTGAGACAACCGGTAAATAAATTTTTATACCTCTGTGAATGTCATAAACATCACACATCATAATATATTCACTATTATTAATCCTAAAATGCCCCCCCCAGACCAAAGAAACATATCAGACATCCACCAGCTTCCATCAGAAAATGAGAATATTCATTGTAAAGAAGAAAAACAACAACAATAATAATATTAAAAATAATAATAGCCTTTTAAGGCCAACCACTACAAAAATGTTCTGAATGTGAAAGTACTGAAAAATTAAGATACTTTTCACTGGGAATCTTAAACCATAGATTCTTAAGCCAAGAGGTCATTTCTAAACTCTGTGCTTTCCCAGATAAGAGACACCACAACAAAGAAAGACACGGACATTCAAATAGGTTCCAAAAGGAAACTGCGACCATGTCTCTCATATCACAAAAAGTCTTGTGCATCTGGGTAAAATGTATCTTCACCTGCTATTTCTGAACTATTATAAATGCTAGTACTTGACCATCAGACAAAAAGAAACTGTTCGGGCAACTTGTGAAAAGTAAAGCATGACTTTTTTTAACCGCTTGATGTCTGACTAATTTTGTTTCCACCTATCCCAAACTGAACCTAACGGCTAGGGAGCACTTTGGCAGTGGTCTTCAACCTTGGACAGCAAACTGCTACCGTGGCTAGAAAAATCAAATCACCTGTCAATGGGCTGAAGTGGGGTACACAGGAATTCCACCTCCCTGCAATACAATCAGTCAATCACAGATTAAACAAGGTTAAGAAAACAACTGAAATAGTATAGACTAGTTACATTTGTGTGATTAAAGCATGAGGTTTTACAGGATAAAGCCTGTTTTCTAATTTTTTCTAGAATGTTTTCAGACCTTGGTTGCTATTTGATCCGGGATGCAGTCAATTCTCTCTGCTATTATGATGTTCGGACATTCTGGCGAAAACTCTGTTAGGGAAATAAATTAAGGGATTATTACTATGATTTCTAAAATGTAGGAATAAGTTGATTACCTCTTAACTCAGTAACTGCTTCTGCTGGCTGTTTCTCACCATCTCCAAACTCTAAGTATTAATGTAGATACAAATGAGTGTAAATTATAGATAGTGTGATTTATTTTAACTTTTGAAAAACTGTACACAACTATTTCAGATAAATTTGAATTCAGGACAATTAAGTTTAAAGTTTTTGAACAAAAGGCTGATATAGATAATTTTCTTTAAGTTATACATTAATCCAAACTTCAGGAAATCTTGTGGCTCAATATGCATTGCTTAGTGTGAAAATGCACACCAAATGAAAATTGGAAGGACATTTCTTCTTCCTAAATGATTCTGTGCTGCTGCTCTCACAGGTGCTCCTCCCCCTCAAATACCGCTCTGCTCTGAATTAGAGCATCTGGTAAAAGCACCTTAAAGCTCCATCAAGATGCTCCATCAGATTTCAGGTTTGTCAGACCAAATTTAAGGGGACCTCTTGGCAACTTTAGCTGACAAAAGGGTACCTGGTGGTTGGTTGCAGCGTCTCCCAACACTGAAAGTTACTTTACATATTTTTGGAACATTGTGTATGTTTGGAATGAGAACTGTGAAGTGTAGAAATCTTTTCTCAGGCTGAGACGAACACAAATAAACAGCCTCCCCTGTTTCCATTATCTGTAATAGATGCACTTGTACTTTTTGTTCAGGCAGACTCCTACTCATCTTCCAACAGAAACAGACAGAAGATATGCAGATATTAGTCCGTCAGGGCACTTTTACTAAAACATCAAAGTGTTTTGTATAAGCAATTATTTTTATTTTATTACTATTTTCACCTCCAAACTTTTCGCTTCAATCCCTGTAAGTAGGGTTACTCACACAAATGGAACTGTAAGTAAATGTGGGGCGCTCTATATCTCATTATTGTAAGACAAGTGCTTTCTAAAGTACTAATACATTAGAAAGAAACACTGTAAGTTTTGATGGTTATAATGTATGTTCCACAAAATTTGGGTGCTCCCACACGGTCTCCCTGCTCACTTTTCTTTTTTTTAGTGTTCTCTTTTTTATATTCAAAAATTCTGCAATCACACCATTTCTATGTTTAAAAAAGAAGTCTAGTCTTGAAAGGGAGGGATAGAAGTTTTTTTCATGACAATAAATTCTGAGTCATGCTATTTATTATTTTCATAACTGATAACTTTACTCATATCTGTAGGAAGGGTTGACCATTATTGGGTAATGATAAGAAAATAACAGAAACACTAAGAGTCAGTACTTTACAATGCGCTTTTTTTTTTTTTAATAGCACTTAGAGTAATTTTTTTTTTTTTCCTCATTTGAATGTCCACATTCATGAAAAGTCTGAATCCAACAGTGGCAGAAACGATGCCAACAGTTAGTTCCTGAAGCTCTGTGGCATTTACAATAGTCTCAGCAAGCAGAGCTGAGCAATCCCCACTCAGGGTTTTCACACTGGTCCTACAGCAGCAATGGGAAGCACTTACCTGTAGTTTTGATTCCAGATAATCCTGATGCTAAAAGCCCAATGAGGACACAGGCTACGATCACCACCAGGCACAAGAGGACAATCAGGGTGACTTCCAGTCCACTGAACTTCTTCTTGCCCATCTAGACCCAGAGAAACACCACCAGTATAAGGAAAACACAAGTAACAGCTTTGAAAACCCTATAAGTACATTACTAATTTATTATATTAAGAAAATGGAGAAATTATTCAGGTTTTAAACCACCTCCCCTAATCCCAGGGTTTAAATAACACACTGCTTAAGGACTACGTGCAATAAATCTCCAATTCAGGATAATTCACACAGCAGAAATTACGGTATTATTTATTAAACTAGTGGGCAATCACTGACAAGTGTATTTTGTTCCCTGCAAACCACTTATATAAAGAACAATTTTCTCCTGAGATTAACTATGGAGCTTCATACATGGTCCTGAAATTCATGAAACCCAAAACAAAATCCTCTTCCCCTGTTTTTTGTTTGTTTGTTTGTTTTTCCTTTTTTTTGTTTGTTTGTTTTGGTTTTTGGTTTTTTGTGGGTTTTTTTTTGCAAATTTTCTCCCTGTTTTTAGACCAATCTTTATCCTATTTTATAAAGGAGAATGTAGATTTGTTAAAAACAGACTTGACATACCTTCTAATGAGCTCTGATTGCATGTTTGTGACACTTGGGAAAGGCAAGACTTTGGTAACAGAGTAAGTTAATTATTTGTAAAGCAGAGTAATAGATCATGTGTATAAACCCGGGGCACATGAGTTGCTGCTGAAATCACAACTGGAATGAAGGAGTGTACGCAGGTGGAGCCAGTGCCTTAAAACGCTGTTTAAAACTCCTGTTTTTCCCAGTATTGTTTTTTATGAGGCACAGTGGAGCAAGGCGTGCTGCGCCAAGGGGCTGTGCTGGCTGCAGAGCCAGTGCTCAGCCCCGTGCGAAGAGCAACACGGCACCATTAACACTGAACTGGGCACCAGCAATAAAACTAATTAAAACTAATCTCCAGCATCCAGATCGATATACATTGGCAGCTGCTACTGCATTTAACATTTGGTTAAGAACATTTAACCTTATAAAACAGCCTTAAATACAGAGAAACTGATTCCTTTTAGTTAAAGCAAGAAAGTGCAATAATACATGTGTATTGCGCTGGCACGTCAAAACAATGTTACATGTTTTAGTGGTGACCCAAAGGAATGAAAACCACTTTAGAATAAGGGGGTTTGGTGTTGTTTGGAGTTTTTTTTGTTTGTTTGTTTGTGAAATAACAATTCAAATCTATTGTATATTCTTGTCTCTCATTTCTTCCCAGTATAATCCATCACCCTGCCTGCACCCCTATTCATGGAAATCCCACAGCTACAAGAATGAACGAGGAATCAAAGCCCTGTCAGGGTTTAGCCTGGCAGGCAGCTAAACCCCACACAGCCCCTCATTCACTCCCAACAGCGGGATGGGGGAGATTATCTCAAAAAATGTAAAACTCATAGGTTGAGATAAGGACAATTGTATAGGACAGAAAAGGAAGGGTAAATTAATAATAATAATAATAATAATAATAATAATAATAATAATAATAATAATAAAATAAAAAAAGAATATTCAAGCGATGCACAACGCAATTGCTCATCACACCTGACTGATGCCCAGCCAGTCCCTGAGCAGTGGGCCACCACCTCCCAGCCGACTCCCCCCAGTTTTATCATTCAGCATGATGCTGTGTGGTCTGGGGTATCCCTCTGGGAAGTTGGGGTCAGCTGTGTCCCTTGCCAGCTCCCTGTGCACCCCCAGCCTCCTCACTGGCAGGGCAGCTTGAGAAGCTGAAGTCCTTGACTTAGTGTAAGCACTGCTCAGCAACCACTAAACCATCAGTGTGTTATCAACATTATTCCCATCCTAAACCCCAAACACAGTACTCTACCAGCTACTTATAAGGAAATTAACTTTATTTCACCTATACCATGATGTGCCCCATCAACAGTCCCCAGAAGAGTAAAGCTAGTACTTTTAAGTGCTTTTCAATATGGTGATTAATAAAGAAGCTTTTGTAAATAACAGTGCTATTCATATTTTTTACATCAATATAAAAAATTGTGGCTATTTTTAATATCATGTTTATTGTTACTCCCCCAGGGAATATTGTATTTAATGTCTGAATCTACACTGTATATTGAAAAGCATACATCTTAAAGTCTGTTCTTTATGATGAGGAAATGATACTCCAGCAGTTCGTCTCCTGAGTTCCCTTTAACATTGTCTGAATAATTTATTGACTAGAAGTCCTAAAAAGTAACGTTTCTTTTTCTGGAAACTATAATTTTATTAAAGTTTTTGTCATCAAGCCCTCCTCCCACCCCTCCATCTATAACGTTGCATTTCATTTCTTTCCTTCTCATGGTCTCCCCCAAGAGCTGAGACTTTGGAAATAAGACTTTATAATTTATAAATGGAAGTTCTTTTGTGTGATGTATACCGAGCAGTGAGGTGAAGGTCTCCAGAAACTTGAATGCAATAAAATGACATACCTTAAAGCTCCTCTGTTTCCTTCATGTGCTGCTCTTGATTGTAAAGCTCAAAATCAAAACAGAGCTTTATCCTTTGCTGTTATCAAGTCATTGCATTGTTTGCTAACCCAGCCACCAATGACAGGTACAAACATAATCACAGGCAGATTGCAGAAAGTCTTTCGATTGAATATAGTTACAGTGATTATTGCAGCCAAGGAATGGCTGGTTAATTAATAATATTTTGGTTCAATAATGACACATCAGATTCTGCAAAGGAAAGAAAAGCAGACATAAAATACCAATAAGCTTATCTATGTTGCATGTTCTTTTTCCATCTTTGTTACTAGAACCGTCATGGAACCTGCACATTCTTTGTCTATCATTTCTGCTTTAAGCACAAGAAGTCACTAAACATTCCCAAATGATAAAAAGAGCTACTGAAGTAGTTTCAGGAGAGCATCAGATTTAGGATCATCAAAACTTTTTCAGGAGTAAATGATAAAGTATTAATTTTAATATTAATATAAACAGATTTCATGGGATATTAACAATAAATTTCAAAAGTAAAAAGATAAAAAACTGACATGGAAAAGATTTTATAGGGAAGAAGCTTCAATTATAATCTTAATATGAAACCTTCATACATAACTGCGTTTTGTCTTTTTCTCACAACAGGTATATAGAATCTTAACATTAAATCTTTATTTTTCCAAAGGAAAGCTTTCAATTCATACTATTAAAATATTTAGAAGTTATTTTTCAGTAATGTAGATATGGCTGAGAAGTGCCACTTGTAATTTTTGAACTGTTCACAAATTTATTCAAGTTCCTCAGTATCTCACCTCCAACTGTGAAGTGCAGGAATGAGATGTGTCCTCTCTGAGAACAAAGCAAATGGGTCTCTTTTCCTTATTCATCGCTTAAAAGAAAATTAATCATACATATAGACTACTGGGACTCTCTGTAACCATCCATCTTTACACAAATCAATGCCACCACTCTCAATGACTCCGTTCTTGAAATTCAGCCTGTTGTTTAGCTATTAGCTATCTCACCCTCTCCATTTCATTGTCACATCAGGCATGTCCGTATGCGTGCAAGAAAACTCAGGAAATTTAATTCTAACATCCCTCTCAGTATTGCTAAATATGCTGCTTTATGAGTGCATATTGAGAAATAATGGTTTTATATGGATTACAAAGATATCAATGGTTTGGGAGGCTGGGGGGTTTTATTTGATGTATGTCTATTTTCCAAGGTTTACATCTTCATTTAACTGTTCCAGTAAAGTACTCAGTCCAGCAAAGCATACGGCCATGTGTTTCATTTAAACATGTCTGCAATCACCCTGCCATCAATATAACCATTTGCTTAAGTGCTTTCCTGAATTCACGGTGCCACAAACTTAGATTATCAATCACCTAGCGAACATTTTCTATGTAACTTGAGAGGGTAAAAGCACTGAACAAAAACGTCTCGCAAGAGGGTTAAACCAGCAGGTTTCCTAGCTGAATATATTTTCATTAGTTGACAAAGGATATCAACAACAGGGCTTTCAGATTGAGATGTGATATTGAACTCTCAGAGGAACAAATGGAGAAGGTTTTTTAGCCAGGGACGCTGAGAAACCATAAAGACAACCAAGAACTCTGTTAAATCAAGAGCTGGAACAGCGTGGTCTCTGCTGTGTCCTGCTTTGGTTTCTAGGAATTAAGAGCTGATTCCTTTCTGACAGCTGGTAAGCAGAATTACTAGAAGCCCAGGAGTATAGTCTAGAGTGTAGGAAAACAAGCTAGGAAATTAGGTACTGTTTAAAATGTAGTAATTTAAAAGGAGATTTTTATCTCTTAGTTTTTAACAGGTCCATTTATAATTAAATTACATACAACTTGAAAAACTTGTTAGTTGGTCATAGTTAGCTCCCTGGTTATATTCATTCAGACAGCTGTGATAATAATTGAGTTTTCAGCTAAGGGTCCATGTTAGGAAAAAGAAATACTTTTCCTATGGTTTCATGAGATCTGTTTTTTCAGTCTTTTGGTATCAAGCATAAAGTTACAGTGTGGATCCCTTAATTCCTGCAAAAAGCTGCTTGCAGACTATCAGTTCAGTCAGGAACTGAACAGGAACATAACCATTAACCATCACGGAAGGACATCTATCACAGAACCAACAGGAGCGCACTCTGCAATCACAGTTCAGCAGACTGGGAGCTCTTCAGAGCAGCTATGGTCATATTCAAAGGAAGAAGGCTGAGCAATTTTGAGAGGCAGCAATGAGGAATCCTGTGCTCAAAGACTCATCTCTCAAGCCTGGGAAAAAGAAACTAACTTAATTTACCTTCTGCACACCACAAGGCAGTTGCCACCTGAGGTCGTCTTCTCTGAGGTACTACATGAAGCCATTGTTCCTTCAGAAGGAGCTATCAGCCCTTACCACTTTTCTGTGGACTGAAGCTCAAGTGACTGTTCAGTGTGAAGAGCCATAGGTCTGTGCTCCACTCCCAGGTCAGCTACTCATTAGCAGGCTGTCAGCCTCCAGTCATCACACACTCATCATCTGCTTGCTTCATGATTTTTCCATGAGTAATGGAGATGAAATT